TAAGAAAAAATGCTTCTCGATAAGAATGGCGTATCGAGGATGATACTATATCAAATGCGAGAAGATTTAGGGGAGCGAAACACTCACTATAGTACTTACGAATGTTATAACTTCTTTTTTTTATAGTACTTTTGGATTATTTTTAGGGTCCAAAAAGATCTTAGTAGTAATTTAATCCAATAGTGGAAATATTTTAAATTGTTAAGATCGACCATTTCACTTTCAACTGTTCAGGTACAGTGCAATTTTACTTGGTGTTGTCGCGCGCAGCGAGTTGTAGCCTGTGGGATACATAAATATTTTTTAGTCTATCTCTACATTATTTAGGGCCGTGCTAGTGCTCCATGGAGTTAATCTCCGTTCTAAATAGCCTTTTCAGTAATTGGTATTTCGTTTCCATCAATCAGTACCTTGCGCTATGGTTGAATAAAACACTCTTTTGTTGGTTCTTCTAGTTACCATATAATCTCTTGAGATTTGTCGTGTGGTACTCTTTGTGTGTTTGCATTTTTCATATCTCTACTGTCTTATCAGAGATAGGTTGATTCAACACTTCTGTAGAGGTTGTTACTCCTATACTCTTCTTAAGATTATTTAGTGATCCCAGAAGTTTTTTGGTATCTCGTGATTGAGAGAACATAATCTGTACACGTTTCAAGCATGAGTGCCACGTATCACACCATCAAAACATATGCTGTATTAATGAGATTAAATACAATATCATTTTTGTTAGTTATTATGTCAAGTTGATTTAAGTACTGACTATTACTCATGATAAGTCTGATAAGAGTTCTATTTTGTCACAAAATTTGACATATCAAATTTAAATTCATTAAACAATCACATGTTATTTATGTCTCATTTTAACGGTATATCTAGATTATATGCAATGACCTAATATGTTTGTTCTCATTGACTGAAGCATTTTATTCAATTGTGTGTGTGCTGCACATCTTCACATTTTACAATCTTTTGTGTTTTCTATTCTATACTTAGAGCATACTTTCTTTACTTATATACATCCTTCATTCTCATTAAGGTTAAACGCTATACATATGTGTATATAAATTAATCTACTCTAGAAAACTTATATTCACAATAGTGTAGTTCTGCACATTTATAGTTATATTTTGTGGTTATACAACTGGTATTTCTATGTTATATTATCAATCATATTTGTTAACTTTATCCATTTTTATTTTATAGTTTATCTATAGCACACATATTACAAGTGTAAAACTGGTTTCCGACTTGTTTTGGTTTATTTTTGTTAAATTGTTATCACCAAAATTCTTTGCGGATTGTGGTAGCTCTCTAATATTATTGTATCGAAGGGAAAATTTTAAAGATGATTAGTTTCTTTCTGTTAGAGAGGATTATTCTGTTGATTGAGTCCTTTGTGAGCAAACATTCAAATAGAATTTATATAGGTTGCTTCTATTTTCCACTGTCGCAGTGCATATTTTATAAATTTGGAGGAACCATAATGAAATTTTCTCTATCACTCTCGTCTATTTTTCATATAAATATCTTTCTATATTTAAAAGAATAATTCTATTGAGATTTCTGGTAATAGTTATGTTAATTTAATAATACTGTTACTTCTAAATTGTTTAAGACACTTACAACCATTCGACGCATTATAGTGTCATTGTGTCTACTTTGCGCTTGCCTGATTGCAATTCTCTCACTCTCTTTATGGATGACTACGCTTTCCTATAGTTCCTCTCAATATTGTTTGCATATCTCACTTCTCTTCTCTTCTTGTTTTTGATTTGATATCTGGTATTTAAGCGACCATCTCTGTGCTAAGCTCTCTGCGACTAGTTGCTCCAACATCATTGCTATTCCAGCGCACTTAGCCACTTGATAGACTATTTCGCGAGTGAAATTACTCACGGGAGATAATAACCAGTTACTTGACTGCATTAAACTGGTGAACTTAACCAAAATAGGATGTTGATATTTATTAGACGTGGCATCCAACAAACACCATTTTCCCCTCACCGATCTGCTTAGTACTGTAATACTACCATTTTTGTTTTAGGCTTCATTGATGTTAATATTATTGACTGAGACAATCATTTCCTGCCAGAACCGTCTCTTCTTTGCAGCTTCCGTTAGAGATTTCCGATCCCAGTAAAATGTCATCCAACCGGAGAAGGTGCAGTCGGTAACATTAATATCCAACAGCAGCGCTCGAATATTGTGTGGGCTCTGCATTCTCTTGTCTCACATTACTGATTAGATCAATCTTGGAGTCTATGCTTCTTCTTTTATATTGAGCGTGGTGTGTACGAGTTCATTATTGCGGGCGTCAGCAAAATCGATCATCCGCCTCACAAGAGTCAAGAACTCTATATTTCGAACAATCAATATTTTCCTAGAACATCTATTGTTGATGGCATCGGGGTGGGGTCACAACTTTCCTAAGCACTATGCAAAGTACTGCCCGGAGAGTTTAATGTTTATTGTCTCTCTAGGTATATTCCATTATACTTCATTTTCGAGAACAAGACATGGAAAGAAAATTTACAAGCACTCTTCCGACGCCATCGATATTTTGTCTTCCCGTCTGCTTTGTGACCCACATCTTATTGTTTTATCGATCATTTCTATCTTTTGGAAGATTTGTTAGTTCGTTGGTAGAAGGTCGAGCAGTGAATAAAGAGGGAATATCAGAAACTCAATTTAATACGCTATCGAGAATATAAACATATTTTAACACTATATCTTCATCAGTTCAGAGAATTGAAGCAGCAAAGAGTAACAATGAGGTCCATTTCTGTATTTCTGAAGTTATGGACACAATAAGCAGAACACGTGAGTGTTTATATGAAACTTAACACCATAATTAACATCCGAGCTATTAACTACAAACTGAGAAACTCGCACGTGTGTGCTTTTTCTCATGAAACAATCAAGAAATAAATTCTACACTAAACGCGAATCGCGGGAACTATAGGTATTCGTTATCTTTCAATGTTTTTTATACTTAAGTAGTATACTGCCACTACAAAAAATTTTGAAGTAATTTCCAAATATGTTGAAATCTGAAAGGAAAAAGATAGATTAATTCTTCTGACTGCATAAGAATTACTTATTTATCAGTAATAGTTTTATACTATCAATTTGAGGATGGTTGCTATGACATCACCATAATAATAAATCAGTATAATGTTAGAAAGAGAAACGCGTAATGATTCTTATATGCCATACTATACGCAATCCACTTTTCAGACTTGCATCAAGGATCAATGGAACAATGCCACTATATACTTTGACAAGCCAAAAAACTAATCCACTTGTGTACACATTATTCTAGAATCTTGAGATGTTTCTATATACTTATATCGCGAGAGTATTAATATTTGTGATTGAACCAAAAGCAAACACCTCTATCAAAATCTTTCCTGGGATACTAACTATTAAAGGAAGAGAGTTAAAATAATCACATTTCTTAACTTAATTTGTGTAGATCATATCTATACTGACCACAAAGTATTCCAAACTCATCACGCCATAGAATACGCAATAATAAACTTCACATTATTTATCTCTTAGATAACATAGGCAGTACATATAAATCAGATCATCCACATAGATTATGAATATATGAACTCCTAAGCAATAATTTCATTCATGGCTTAGAGAAGTGTGATTAAGCCGAGTCATACTACAATAATACACAATAACAACGCTACATTGGTTTACTACAATATATGGATGCAGCAAAAATCACTCACAGGCCCACTTAGTCAGAATGGATCAGATATCAGACCACCTTCAGGTCGATAATTGTCAAACAACAATAATACATTTCTCTCATCAACCAGATTACATGTTTTTTACAATTTATGAATTAACAGAACCACACTATTTCTCCGAACTAAAAAAAAAAAGCAATTGCCTTTATGGATTATAGCCTAATAATATGTACTATTTTGTGACATTGATAAAAAATAATCCCAATATTTACGATTGATAGGAGCATATTTTATGCGCTTAGTTAGCTGTTCTTATGCATTCACATTATGTTGTAAAATAGGTTCTCTCTTGTTACAAAGAACACCTTCAATTATATCTAAATGAGACTACAACCTATACTTGATGGGCAATTATCTAGTGATGTGTCAACTATAACACGGAGAAGGTAAATACACATAGCGGAAATGATAATGTAAAGGGGGAACAAATTCTCGAAATCAGCTATACTTGGAAAGGCCTCAACAAAAGCTCGGTGAGTCATTGAGAGCAGAGATCAAAAGGAGCACAATTAGCGGTGAGCAAACATTGACTAGAAGGATGTTATCGTTATGTTGACAATTGAAGAGTTTATGGATGCAAGCATATTGAGTAGAGTTTCACGCTACTGAGATGAGTATGTGCTATAATGCTAAAGAGGACCTAATAAGTTCACATTATTTATGAAGGGCATTCCTCAGACAATTGTAGTCCTGTAAAATATCCGGAAAAGTGTGACTGTAACACTTTCAAAGTGTTTTAGCTAAAATTTTGATGAAGTTTCTGAGTTTTCTTGTATGTTTATATCCATTTATTTCTGGAGGAGATATTATCTCTCTTCTCTCTATGTGGTGGTTCGATTCAGGGTGGGCATATCTTATTATAGATTGGAGCAGAATATGTAGAACACTAAAATATAGAGTTAGTGCTCATTAGGATGGAAAGTGGTCCTTAGCATTCTCATATGGCGCGAAGACTCTCTAGGTCCTAATATCATATTGACTATAAATATCTTTGGCCGGATATTTCAATTTATTGCTCTGTAAACGTTATGCAAATCATAACCCTTCTATACACACATACCAAGGCTCTCAATCAGGCTTTACACTGACTTCATATAATCCCCATCCAAAACCAAAACAAGACACTTGTGAGTATATATAAACCCATATTACTCCATTACAGTCACAATTAGATCAGATCACATTGTGAAATAAGTTCATGTTTAATAAAAGCGAGAAAAATAAAAATTGAAGATTGATAAGGCTTACAAATGTCCATCTTTACGATCTCCACCCAAATCACCTTCTCAAGTGTTGACCCTTGGCAGTTCATGTTCTGCAAAATAAGTACAGAACACTTCCATTTACCAAAAAAAAAAAAGAAAAAGGAAAGCCATTAGAAAGAATCAATTTTCTAGGCCAATTATACATTAAATTTCACAAAGTTTGATTAAAAAAAAAATCCTAAAATAAAAAAAAAAAATTCCAAGCTTTGAATTAAAGAAGCTAAGAAAATCTACTCCTAATCTTACAATTGATGAAGAAATCAAAGATTTTGAGGGAAACCCAAAATCTGAAAAGAGGGAAAGAATTGAGAAAAATGGAGAGAATCTGGTTTGGGGTTGAAGACATGGTTGGGGGAGAGGGATTCTCCCACAAATTGCAGTCTCCATGGATCAATCCTTTTTTTTTTTTTTTTTTTTGTGTTGAGGAAGGTACAGTTTAATCCAACACCTGATTTCATCCATTTCCACAAACAAACCATCAACAAAAACTTTTAAAATTTAAAAATAAATTAAAAGAAAGGAAAAATGGAATCGTGGAAGATCGTGGCGGTGAGACCGATGGCTCTGCACATGCCAACAACGACACCACATATGAGTGAATGCGACATTTGACAAAGTCCTCTTTCAAAACCTACAGATTTAAGTGACAAAACTTACTAAAGTGATCACAATGGCATCAGCAATAAAAACATAAAAGCATAAAACTTAATTTCCAATTGTCCAGAATGCCAGAGAAGAGCTCATTTCTTAGTAGCATAGGACATATAGAGATATGATAAAAATATGGCTTTACCTTGAACCGGTCAGTCTCCGCAAATCTCTCACTCACATGAGTAGCCATGTGTGGATCCTAAAGCCCATATAACACTACACATAATCAGTGCAATACCAACTTAATTCCACAAATTTGCAACAAATACAAACTCAGAGTTGTAATTGCATTCAAAGAAGAAACACAGAAACACAGACATTCAAACAACCTTTTTGATTGCGAGCACAAATGCACCAGCATTAATAAGAACATTGGTCAAAGAACCTGTTCGCAGCCTAATTTCTAACATCACATCACCTTCCCCAACTTCGACCGCAGCAGTGAGCTGATTCGTTGATCTTAAAATCTGACATTGAGTGCTGCAAACACACCAAAATCAATCAAAGAAGAGAAATTCAGAACTAAAACGATTTTACCTAAGATGCAAAAAATGGTTTAGATCCTAAGTACCAAGCAAATATAGAAGCGATTCAACAATTATTAAAGAAAATCAACTATGCATGGAACAAAACTTAGAAAGTAAACAATTGTCAAAGCTTGTGAAGAATGCTAAATCCAACTAATTCGAAACATAAAAGTAACGCGAAAGAGAGAAAACTTATAAATTCTATAGAAATTATAATCCTTAACAGAAGGATGGAACAAAAACAGGTTCATTCTTGAGAATAGATGTAATTTTGCACATTGCATATATGTAGATTAAGGAGAGTGGTAACATACCTTGTAATTTGTACAAATTAGTATTTTCATTCAAAGAACTATAATAAACAAAATTTCCAAAAAAAGTGATTCAAACTTATTCTTCTCTTAAGGAAATTACTCACAGTAGAAATTCTGAATGGACGAAGTTTTGGCTTCCCTTTCAGGCTATACTTGATTAACCGGGAACCTTTTTTTAGTGCAATGAGTGCCTTCATGAGAGAGAGAGAGAGAGAGAGAGAGAGAGAGAGAGAGAGAGAGGAATATTAAGTGAAAAGTATTGCCAAATCACACAGAGATCAAAATCTTGAATATATATGTTTAACCATATCAAAGTGAGTGTGTGAAAGGGTGTAGTCTGCAGAAAGGGCAACATTTTCACTGCTAGAAAGTTGGAAACTAAACTTTTACACAGATATTGGTTTTTTATTAATTCCCTTCGCGAATCGAAAAGCAAATTGTTCAAGTAATGCAGGTAAATTCGATATACATATGCGTTGATCTATGTAAGACGGTTATAAGTTATAATTGTATCGTCTTAACACAAAAATGATCATAAATGTAAGTGTCCATATAAAGGAAGTAAGGGACTTACAGCAATTGCTATGAGCTCTACCAGCAGTCACTCCAAGTACCGTATTACAGAAGTAAGGGACTTACATCAATTGCTATGATCTCTACCAGCAGTCCCCCCAAGTGGCGTAAGGGCTAAAATTATAAATAAGAAGTAATTTAAACAGTTTAACTTGATAAAATATTGTAATTTAAACAATGCCTATATATTCAAACATCCCAAAACAGGAATGAACTTCCAGAAAATACACGCACGAAAATAAACGGCATTACTCACCCATTGAGTTGGACCATCAAACTGGAGCGTTAGAAGGATCGTCATGTACCTATGAAACCGAAAGGAAAATCTTAGCAACCCCAAAGTATGTATGCAAGCGTGAATAAGTATGCATGTATGAATCTATTCATAGTGAAGAAGACCACCTTAAGAAATATTTGCATCTGCAGCTTCATATGGCCATACAACGAAAAGCACCGCATACGATAACAAACTCCAATTGCACCACAAAAGGAATATGATCTTCCTCTGAACTTGTATTTGCAGTTGTTACTGTAACATCTGCAACATCATACATAAGCACTGATTCAATAATTCTAAAGAAAAAAGCTCTTATTCAATAATGCACCAAATCCTTTCCAAAAACCAAAGGGGTGCCATATCCCTAGATTAACAGAGCATCTTTCTTTGTTCCAAAACAAATTGCAATTTGGCTTTGCTAAAGTAGAAAGATTACCACACACCTCAGATATAATCTCAACTCTGTTCCATTATTCGAGCATTTTACTGTCCTTTTAGTTCTATCTCTCAACATGGGAAATACAATATGACAGTAAAAACAAAAGTTAGTGATAGCTATTACATAGTGAAAGAAAATAAGACACTCACATAGTGATAGCTATTTACTGTCCTTTCTCATCATAATCTCAACTCTATTCCATTATTCGAGCATTCTACCGTCCCTTTAGTTCTACCATATGTGAATGTCTTAATACATGTCAGCTATATATATATACAGAATTTTGAAAGCAATGAGAGAAAATATACCTTTGGGGCGTCGATTCCAGAAGGGTGAGTGAGGGATCTAAGATGTTTGAGAGCAGGAATTTTTTTGAGCAATTTGTTCGAAAAAAGTTGTGAGCTTCAAATAGAGTGGAGTGAGTCGGCCTGGGCTAAAATAAAGAGGATGAACTCTAGAAAGTAGACAATGCTGTTGTTCAACCAAACTCAAAAAGTAAAGAAACCATACTACTAACATATAAATAAGTTTTATATATCAATGTTTACATGTACGTTGTTTGAGAAGGTAAATTAGCAACATATACAGTGATCAAAAGATTAACAGCAATAAACTGCTCATTATTCGAAATATACATGAAAGTTGTCATTCACATGATCCAAATGGTAGTTAATGCAGAGGACAAAACAGAAGGAAACAAATATTATAGCAGCATAAGTTGAATAATTGCAGCAAACAAACAAATAGAAGACTCAAAAACTGGAAGTGAAAGCAGGTAACATTGAGTTTTAATAACCGAAAAGAGACCTTGTTTAAGCAGCTCCACGGCAGCATTTATACTTGGAAAACAGAAAAAAAAAAAAAAAACACGCACAAATTAAACAAAAAGAATATAGAATTTAACACTAATTCAAGGATTAAATATCAAATATAAAGTCATTAGGATTGGGACCTTTGCATTGAGGAATATCTACTACATTATGAGTTCCCTCCTAATAAAGCCCAATCAGGGGGTTTTCCGGTGAGCCACGAACGGCTAACATTGCGCAAGACCGTCATCCCCACTAACACAAAACCCAAATAATATCAAGATCAAAACTAACCAATACCAGAAAGATATTTCTTTTATTTAAATTTTAAGAAAAGGCCTAAACTTTACGAAATTAAGGGGAAAAAAAAGTTAAAGCACCAATTTGAAACTGTCAAAAGTGAAATCTGAGATGTAAAATCCTGGGATTCATAGCAATGGCATCAACAGTGCCACCACATCCCAAATAAATGAATGAAAATATAGCGATTGACGGCCAACTAAGAAGCTCAAGCTTGAACATAAACCAAGGCAAGAGCTTACCAAACTTTTCAAATGGCTAAATTGTTCTTTTAACTTGATAACTTCTTCCTGCAATCCATAAGTAAGATCATTAGATGCGGTTAATAAAACATCATACTTCATCCATGGCAATCTAGCTGAGAAACCAATTGCATTCAGATGGAGCCTAATTTGTGGAACTACATTTATATGCACTGAAATGCATTATCATGTTGTCATATTTAAAACTGAGGTTTATGCACTTCATAATTTATATACTTTCAGTTTCCCTTCTAATGAAGGTATGGACTGCTTTCCATTTGGAATTTTTGTAAGACAATGTTATGAATCCTAATTTAGAATGTGTTTCCATTTTAATGAATGCAAGCCCTAAATCATAAAAATTGTACAATTAGCTCTCAATTACTCTGATGTGTTTAAGCATGTGGCAGGGCATGAGAATCAGTTTGTTGGCCAAAAGTTTTTAGCTTCGTGTGTAATTAACCAGTTTGTCAATTACCCTAGAGTAAGCATAGGCCAAAAGTAAACATGTTTATTACCTCCCCACAGCTACTTAAACATTTCTGCTCATTACATGTCCCAGTATAGTTACACACGCTACAATTTCCAGTTGAGGCAAAAACTCTTGCCATTTACGCATACTTTAACTTTGCCATGCTGCTCGTATCTACAGCTGATGGTGAACCTTACTGCATAAACAGCATAGTAGCTCCCGTTTACCTACAATAGATTAAAACCATTTGGAAAAAATAAATAAGCCTTTGGTTATAGGTTTCACTTGCTAACTGTTTCTGATGAGCCACAAAACACACCCAACAAAAGAAAATCAAACACATACCAAAAGAAGATTAAGCGTAATATTCCAATTATAACCATTTTTTAATTCTGTATAAACACGTAGAATATATAAACAAAAAAAAATTAGTAAGAAATATTGTATTTACAACTTTTGAAGATGATTTGTTAACATGCTAATATTTTGAATGTAATTTCACACTTGTTTTCAAGCCTTCTAATCAGCCACTTTTTGTTCTAACTCCTGTATTGCAGTAATGTGTCCAAGAAAATCTTGTAATCTCAAAGAAGCTTATGATAATTAATATAATAAAACCTAAACAAAATACCAAACTCAACTCCAATATAATGAAAAACTAAAAATCTCAATTCAATAACCCTATAAATTGAAATTGCTCACCTTGAGTACACAGGGCAGCCTGGAAACAAAAGCCTCAAAATAAGAAAAACCACCGTCTGCTGAAACCAAACCCAATATAAAACAAAGTTGCAAGTATTTAAATATTATTCAATTGAAATGGCTGATCCACTTAGCATGTTGATTTGATATAGTGGTAACGTTAGTTAATGTTAGAATGGAAAAATAATGTCGGCTACGATATGCGGAAAGTCCTAAGATTAAACGCCTATGTCCACGACGATAAGCAGGCAATTAGTATAAAAAAACAAACCCATCGAAAGATAGTGCACCATTAGTCTCCCCAATGACAATACTTAGTTATCCCTGCTATCCATACACCAAATAAGATTAAGATTAGCTTTGTTTTATTAGAAATTCAGCACGGTATACTTACTGCTATATTAGAATATACCAAATAATCATAACAGTATTATGTATCATCTAATATATTATAAAACCATCATATGACTTTTGCAAGTTAAGATGAAGGCAAGAGGTCTGAAGCTTTAAGCACAGGTAATAAGAATCTTACTGTTGATAGCTTCAGGTCGAAAGAGAAGCCAAAAATATTATAAGTATACTGGATGAAATGTAAGACACCCTTTACTTCATCTTTCACCTGACAACAGAAGCACAAAAAACCAAAAGTCTTAAGAACGAAACAAAAAAAAATGTAAAGTTGTAAACAGTAGGTACAATTTAATTAAGCTCAACTCACTTGGGACTCCCTGCAAAAGATATGGGCATCATCCTGTAGGATATTACTAAAACATGTCAGGAGTACATGTAATCAGATAATTATATTTGAATAAAAAGGGCAAACACGCTATAGAAAAATGGGCCAAACTGCAACTGACAACTAACTAATATTATAACTCTTTTATGCCAGTAATCTAAGAGATAATTTAATAAAAAGGGCACAGGCAGCGGGGAATTTCGGGGGGAAAAAAAAACTTGGGCTTTTGGGTCATGGAATTAGCAAAATGGTAAACACGAAGATTATTAGGCAGCCAAGCCAGTTCCCTTCTCTCCTCTCTTCTCCTTTACCTCTCTCTCCACCACCCTCCTTTCTCTCTCTTCTTTCTCACTCCTCATCGTATTACCCTAAATTCTCCAACTCTCTTTCTATCTCTTTCTTCCCTTTTTCTAACCCTAGCTCCTCCACCGCCTGTCTGTCTACCCCGAAACAGACACCCCACCACATTCTTTTTTTTTTTTTACTCTCCCCACCCCAATTCTCAATTCCAAATTCGTCATTCACTGAGTTTTCAGGATGTGAATATTACTGGACATCCCCTAAATTTTCTCGGAATCCAAACAGTGAGCAAGATAATTTCATACAAAGATCATTTCCAATTAAAGTTAAATACTCATGGGTTAAAATTGTCTACACTACACATGCGCAAATAAATTCCTGATAAATTAAGAGAAAAAATAAAGGTAAGTAATATATCAATTTATGGTTGGAAGCACCTTGACAATTGGTAAAAGATAATCTCTTACAAAACTGAAAATAGAACGATTTGAACTCGAATATAGAAGAATGAACATAATATTGTCTTATTAGCTAAAATTATAATGATTGACAATGGTAAAAATGACAGCAACACCACCTCACCATTTTATTTTATTTTTGGGTGGGGTGTGGGTGTGCTAAAAACCATACCCCAATCGGATAATTCTTTAGATAAATCAGGTCAGAGTGCACACAATTTGTGAATAAAAGGTCACCACTTCAATGCTTATATACATCGAACTTAATCTTAGATATATCCATAGAAAATTGGTTGAGAGAACGACGACTTCACAACGGCCTAGGATCTTGCACAAAGAGAATAAAGTAAAAGAAAAAAATCTAAAGAGAGTGAAAAAAACATTATATTTCATTGCATTCTATTGACTCTAATTATACACTTCACACAACGGCCTAAGGATGTTGCACAAACAGAATAAAAGTTAAAAAAAGACTAATTACACTGAAAAAAAAATATATATATATTTCACTGCATTCTATAACTCTAATTATACAGGAAAGTGGTTTCTAATTGGTTAAATGAAGCCTCACCGACTCACACATACAGACTTTTCTAAACTATTACCTTCAAGAATGTGCATCTTCTAGAGCTCACTTGCCTTTGAAACCTCATAGTCCTAACCGAGTTAAACCAATTAATAAAGCTCATTTCGATAAAACTTGCACACAGAATGAGAAGCCAGTCTCAAGTACAAATGCTTACTTGAGTACTATGAAAAGCCTGCTCAAGTCGCTGAATTTGAATCCATTGTTCAGTAACAATGTTGTTCATCTGCAATCAAAAACAAAGAAGCCAATTGCAAAATGACACCATACTCATAGTCTCATAGACCAAAGATTGCAGGAAACGTATCAGCATATAGTATATGTGACCTTTTGAGCCTGCGAGGCAACCGGTTCAAGTCGATCCTTAGCATCCCGTGCTTTCTGACTCTTAAACATGAAGATAAAAGTTGGAACTTTCTAGACGCCTCCCATAAAATCCATACCTAAAAAGCAATTCCAAAACTTATTTCTCAAAGTCCAACACTGGATTGAAAACTTGCAAAAACAAATTGGAAAATTCGAAAGAATTTATAAGGCGGTGGGATGTTGTACAGGGTTGGTACCTGGAGCTTGAGAAATCAAGGAGCTTGCCAGTTTGAGAAAAGATGATAACAACAGCTTCAGATTCACACAGAATCGACATCTCTCCAGCTTTCTTCAAATCCCCGCTTCTCCTCTTTGAGAAGGTCACCTGCCTTGCCTTCTCTCTCGCATCACACGACACCTCCCTCTCCCTTCTCACTGGCTTTGTTGCAGGCTAGGCCTGCCCGTGTCGGCCATCCATCCGAAAAATCCAACCACAAACGAAAGGCACCAACCAAGTCACAGCCCAAACCCCCAAAAGCCTATCCAACTAAACCTGGAAAAAAAAGCCCAGGCGAAATGCTAAGATGAATGGCAAGTCCATAAATAGAGTGAAATTGGGGTCCAAAAACAATGAACAGTAAAGAACAGTGCCAATTGCAATGCTTTTTTAGACTAAAGTAATTATACAGCACTTAACTCTCTGTCAAAAGATCATTTATCTTCTGTCATCCTGTTATAAAAGCTTTGGCGTTAAGGGTAAATGTCTTGCTTCTCCTAAAAATTAAGGGGTTATGTTTATAAAAATGCTGTCGATTTTCATTCTCTAGACTTTCCATTTTGCTTTTGAAGGAAGTTCATGTCTGTTATTTACGACTTGATTTTCATTTTTGTTCCTTGTTTTACAGTTGTCACACACACTTCTCTATGGCATGGAACTTGTAGACATTGTACTTGCTGCCTTATCATTCGATATTATTCATATCTGTCCCTTCTTATTATCTGTACGACAACAATTCTACCTTGTTTGTGCACACTCATAATCCTTGGATCTTTTTCTGGTCGATGAATTTTCCCAAGATAATTAATCTTTCTATATGGATCTTGTAACTCCCCCTCCATCCATCCTTTATTTAACTTTTCTGAAATGCTTTCCTGATACATAACAACGAGAGTTGCTTCACATGATTTTAAAGTTTTAAACATAAACTTACCTTAAATACAGCTAATGACAGTCTTATTTTCTCACTCCCAATTCTTTGTAGGCCTTCTAGTCACTAAATTGGAAACTTATCATGCATCTACCTTGCATTTCTTCAAATGATTAAAAAAACCACAATATTCAATTTACAAGATCTGAAAGTACATATAATTTATTTTGTGCAGCTTAAAACTATTTCAGAAAAGGCGTCTGCTGGAAAGCAACCAAACAATGGTATAGATACAAAACTTCCTCAACTCACGCCACTGAATAATGGTATACCAAACAATGGATCTTTTTCGTTGTAGAACTTTAATCCACACCTGACTTTGAACCAGGGTTGGATGAAGTGATGAAGGGAGGCCGACAATGGTGACATACGGTGGGGATGGGCGGAGGAGTCGTATGACGGGTCGTGGACTAAGAAAACGGTGCCCATTATTGCTCCATTGCCTAAGACTTTAAAGGCCCTAATAGTCACCGGTGAGATCGAGCTCTGGCGAGGTTGGATGGTGAATGAGGCGAGGTTGGGCGACATTCACCTCTCCCAGACCCTGCGTAAAGCGGGAGCCTTGTGCACTGGGTACGACCTTTTTTTATTAATATAAGTCCTGTCGGTTTTAGCCGACAGGAAATAGTTTTATTTATTCATTTTTAATTAATTTCTGTCGGATGGCTTAATGATTTTCTGTCGGTTATATCCGACACCATTTCTGTCAGTTTTAGAGTGTTTTCTGTCGGAAAATTAATTTCCTGACGCAGGCAATTCTGTCGCTTATTATATCCGCCACTGCATCTATTTTCTGTCGAATTTTGCTTAAAATCCGACAATAATATATGTTTGTTGTCGGTTTTCCAAACGCCACTAATAACTGGTTTCCTAGTAGTGTTTGCAACCAAGGAAGCTAGTACTCTCTAGCTTCTTCCATCAACTTAATAACATGCTAGAATTGTCTAGTATGCTCCAACCACCTTATTTGCTTACTAGAATAATCTATAACATTGATCATGGGCTGGACCATATACCAACAGATAGATTATAAAGGGAATGACTTTCAGTTGATTCTCGGAGCTGGTAGGAGGGTCTGCCCGGAAATTCAGTTCGCCATAGTTGTTAATGAGATTGCCTTAACAAGTAACGTGCACAAGTTCCATTGGAAATTGCCTGGTGGAGCAAGCGGGGTGGATTTACACACGGCTGAATCTACTTATGGGAAAAACTGCCTGGTGGAGCGAGGGGGGAGGATTAACTGCTTAAAAGTCAAGTGCACTGCTAATAATTGAACGCAAATTCTTGTAAATTTTCGACGTCAACTAATGAGCAGAGACAGAGTCAAATCTTGTGTGCGCATGCGAGCGTGCGCTTGTGACATAAACATAAACATTATGTCTCCATAAAAATCAGGGTGTGATATCCATACATCTCTTTTTACTTCTCACACATCCCGAGTTAATTTTTATCCTTCGATCTTCTTCAATTCATCCGATTCGATGGCCGAAAATTGGAAGGGATGTGAGAAGTAAAAAGGGTGTATGGATATTACACCCCTAAAAAAATATCATCAGAGGTGGTATTTTTCTACATTTAAGCTTGATGATATCACCTTCAGATACGAGTTTACATCAAATAGCTTTTCTCTGATCAAACTACAGGATTCCTATGCGTTCCATTTTTAGTTGGAAGGCTGGGCGTGTGAAGATGTCGATGATATCTGCTGCGGAGGACGACGTCTGTTTTATATAAAGTTTCATTACGTAAGCAAAAACATGAAGATATGTAAAGATCATGAAATCTGTGAGACTGTGACCTACTTAAGAATATCCAAAAGATCTTTGCATATTTACAAATCCAAGCACAAATAAAAGTCCAAGTTTCATAAAATTCGTAAACATCTGATTTTTCTACAATCTTGTCAGATGAATCCAAGATCTCTGTCACAAATAATGAGTTACAAGGTCAATGTCAGCAAGTTGGAAAAGCTTTCAAGTTGTCTAGAATTGATGTGGTCTACATACGCACTATTCGGCCTTTACTTTGTTTGCTTATGGGATGATCCTATTCCACACGATACCAAGACATAAGATCTGTATTTAAACAACAAAACAGACACAATTTCTTTAAGTTTCCTAATTAAAACACTTGTTACTGATTCAGAAAGAAGAATTAAGATGCTAAGACATCTCTTACAAATGCTACAACTGCTTGGAACCTCCGACTTGTTGCAACCGGTTTCCTTCGCGCTTGTGGCCATTTTCCTAATCCTCCTATACAAATGGTCCTCTGCCAGTGCAACCACCGCCAACAACTCCTTACCGCCATCTCCACCAAAGTTCCCCATCATTGGAAACTTTCACCAATTAGGCTTGCACCCACATCGCTCACTTCTAGCTTTATCTAAACGCCATGGCCCTCTTATGCTTCTCCACTTCGGAAGTGTCCCAGTCCTTGTTGTCTCTTCTGCCGAGGCTGCCCGTGAGATCATGAAAACCCATGAAATCGCATTTTCCGACCGACCCAAGTCCACCATCTATGAGAAGCTTGCCTACAACTACAAAGACATCGCAACAGCCCCTTATGGTGAGTACTGGAGGCAGATGAAAAGTATATGTGTTTTAAATCTTTTGAGCAACAAAAGGGTTCGCTCTTTTCGTGCTGTGAGAGAAGAGGAAACCCAGCTCATGATCAACAAAATAAAGGACTCTTGTTCTATATTATCCTCTTCCTCCTCATCATCATCAGTTCTGAATTTACGCGAAATGTTTGTGACGCTTACCAACGATGTGCTATGTAGAGTGGCTCTAGGGAGGAAGTACAGTGGTGAAGAAGGTGGGAAGATGTCTAAGGAGATTATAAAGGAGTTCGTGGAGTTATTGGGAACTATGGATATCGGGGACTATATCCCATGGCTTTCTTGGTTGAGCCGTGTCAATGGTTTGCATGCCAAGATAGACAAGGTTGCTAAGCAATTTGACGACTTTCTAGAGAGTGTGGTTCAAGAGCATAGCGATCAGACGTCCAAAAGTGGAAATGATGAACATGTTCATGTTGAGAACGAGGAACAAAAGGATTTCGTGGATATTTTGCTTGGGATTCAGGAAGGAAGCTTGGCTGGTTTTTCTCTTGATAGAGTTGGCATAAAGGCTCTCATCTTAGTAAGTCTCTCTATTTGCATCTGATTTGCACATGAATGTGACATTTACCTATAATTGGAACCAGGGCCCACCCTGAGAATTTGGGGACCCTAGGCGAGCCTTTGAAGTGGGGCCCTAAAATTCTCTGATCTCCGGTTCTTTGTATATTGATTTGTATAAAAAAGAATTTGCTAAATACATAAAAAGCTCTATTTTCACATCAAATATCATTAAAAATTAATATGAAAAGAAGATAAATATACAAAGATTATTTAAACATTACACGATTCACGTTTTTAGACACACAAATGTACTAAATGTTTGCAGTCAAGAGTTTAAGATTGAGAGTGAAGAATAATAAAACTTAATGATCAAGAGAGTAAATAACAATAAAACTTGATTAACGAGTATAATAAATTCAACGCCAATTGTTTCTCTTGTGTTTTTTTCCTTCTAAAATCAACATCACACTAACGAATTGAATATTTAAAATAATCCATCGAATAAAAAGTTATTGAAAAGAAAAATATAAAATTCAAAGTTTTGATTATCTTGTACAATCTTTAAGGCCATATGATGGTTTAAACATTCAATAGAAATGGAAAGAATGGGAAGTTGGTTTAAACATTTGATAAAAATGGACATAATGAGAAGTTGAAAGAAAAAAGATTGCAGAGACTTGAGTTTTATAACTTTATATGCATTTGGACAGATAGATTGGGAGTTGGACAGATGAATTGGCAGTAAATTTGAAAAATAAGAAAAATCTAGTGACTAAAAAGCAACTTCGTGTTTCGAACTCAACACCCAAAAAAAAAAAAAAATGAAGCCAACATTTCCACTGCACTAACAAATGAATTATGATATTTATTACATTTTTTGTATTTATATGTTCATTACAAGATATAAATTTTATTTTGGGCCCTTCCAAAGTGGGGGCCCTAGGTAGGCGCCTACTTGGGCTACCCTCAGGGCCGACCCTGATTGGAACTAGAGAGTTTACTATAACTGCTTGTAAACGTCGACAAAATGATGGAACAAAAAATGAGCTACTGAATCACAAGACTTTTGGATGATTTTACCTGATCAACCTAACTTTGTTCATTGTTCATGTAGGATATGTTTATTGCAGGCACTCATACCACATATGCAGTGCTAGAGTGGGCAATGACTGAGCTTTTGAGGCATCCGAGGATCATGAGCAAATTGCAGAATGAGGTACGGGGAATAGTCGGAAACATAACAGACATAATTACAGAGGATGATTTGGTAGGCATGCACTACTTGAAGGCAGTGATCAAGGAGACTCTTCGCTTACATACTCCAGGTCCATTACTACTTCCCAGGGTGTCGACACAAGATGTGAAAATAAATGATTACGACATTAAGGCCAAGACACTTGTTATGATCAACGCGTGGGGAATCGGAAGAGATCCTGAAACGTATGAAAACCCAGAGGAGTACGAGCCAGAAAGGTTCTTGAATAACGGTCTAGACTATAAAGGGAATGACTTCCAGTTCATTCCATTTGGAGCTGGCAGGAGGATCTGCCCGGGAATTCAGTTTGCAATATCTATCGATGAGATTGTTCTGGCGAATATCGTGCACAAGTTCAACTGGGCATTGCCCGGTGGAGCAAGTGGCGAGGGGTTTTGACATGACTGAATCAAATGGCACAACTGTAATCCTAAAGTATCCTCTCAAAGCTGTTGCTCTTCCATATTTAGGTTGAAAGATAGAGGCTACATTGTCTATGTACGCGTATAGGCCTTTGTATTTTATGTCTAACCTAAGGCTCTAAGCCTTCTACCGTCACCTATTATGTTCGCTTTGTCTGTCGCTATTGCCAAAATAACATAGCACATGCAGTGCCAAAGTATTGTGTGTGCTTACACCCAAAAAAAATAAATAAAGTATTATGTGTGTGAATATATGTTTTTTTTTTTTTAACAAACGATATTTATCTACACTAAAGGAGTAGGGGAGTAGAGTAAGCCTCACATTGGACGAGCCATAATAATGTGGTTCAAATTCGTCTGTGGCGAAAATCGAATCTAAGACCTTTCACTTACAAGTGAAGAGGAATACCACTAGACCATATTATTAAGTGGCGTGTAACTGACAGAATTTAAGAAACCACTTACAGTTAATGTTGGAGAGGGAAAGCTCCCTTGTTGATACAAATTGACTGCACGTAGGGTGGGACGAAAATCCATTATTCCGAACCCTGATCGTCGTTTCTTGTGCACCCATTGTCAAAAATAGAAAACCAGAAAGGACAATTAAAGGACTATAAGAGCATTGTCATATTGCTCTATTAATTTGTCATGATGTTGAATTTTACAGACAGAACCAAATGTATTTATTCTGATGTGGCTATATATCGATGAACGTTGAATCGTTCAAATCTCGCACTATCAATGAATGTTGAATACTTCGTTTCCGTATTACTATTCCATAAGGATAATGATCCTCGAGTTTCTTTTTATGGAGCTCAATAATAGTTCTGCATGTTTCTCTATCTGTCACTTATTTTCGGGACCACAGCGTGTATCATCATCCGTTACTACACTCCAGAAAAGAAGATGAGGCTTTGTCTGGCATATTTCTGTTAGTAAAACAAGGTGGAAAATGGTACAAAGTAATTGAGGTGGCTTCCTTGCCGATTGATGACTATTAGATGTTGGATTTTTGGATCGGCGGATTCGTTTGGCCCCACTCTAACGACATCAATATTGTTCCTAACTTTATCACCTGCCCAATCCATCAGGTGTGAGGTTTTACCACTAAAGGTCTTAGTATTAGTTAGAGTAGGATAATCATTTTTAAAGCCACCTTTGTTGACTTCTCCCATCGTTGTGTGACTGCTAACACACCCCTCACGTGTAACCCCATTTAGTGGTTCACAAGTAGAGATGCACACATCGACAATTGAAACTCAGAGATTGATTAAAACTTAGAAGTCGGCTCCAATGAAGTCCAGACTTGTTTTCAATCATTTCAAGAAGTGATTCTTAAAAACTCTGAGGCTGGCTCTATGTTAAGAGTCTAAGCTTGTTTCCAATGCCACACTTTCTGGTGACAAGCCTTTGGCTTGCATGAGCCCGTAACTGTGGGCTCTTATACCATGTTGAATTTTATTTAGATCGACGAGCCCAGGAGGCCCACTCTAACGACATCAATATTGTTCCCAACTTTACCACCTGCCCAAGGGAACTGTAATGAAAAGCTCTCGGTACTGTTCACTTTAATGAAAAACCACATTTTTACACTAAAAAGTCAATCCTGATACTATTCATTTTACCCTTTATTTTGTAATTATCGTTAAAATTTAAAGTTTTCAAGCCTTTTTCATTAGTTTTCCTCCTACCCAATCCGTCAGATGTGGGGTTTTACCACAAAATGTCCCGGCATTAGTTAGAGTAAGGTAATCATATTTAAAGCCACCCTTGTTGACTTCCCCCACCGATGTGTGAAACCAAATGGCCACACGCTCTCCATGTCACCCCGTTGTGTTGTCCACGTGTTAGGGGGTGTGTTGGAAATAAGTTCCACATTGATGGAAGGAGGGACTTGCATGAGCTTATAAGAGATTGGACTACTCCTCATATTGCAAATTGGTTTTATGATGAAATCTCAACTTTCTTCATTAGATGCCACCGAAAGCAAGTCTCAGTCTAATGAAATTGATTACGACAACTGAGGGAACCGTACCAGAAACTCCGAGGCACTGAATTTTGGTTTCCAATGGATTTTCTTCAATTACTGAAGGAACCCTCTTTGCTTCTTGCATTCAGTTTCCTCATATTGTTGCTCAAATTTATCTTTGAGGATAAGTCACGGAAAAGAAAACTCAAACTTCCACCAAGCCCTCCGAAGCTACCTGTCGTTGGTAACCTTCACCAGCTCGGAAACAACCCCTCACCTATCTTTTCGCGGATTGGCAGAGAAGTATGGCCATGTTAGAGAAGAAGTTGCTCGTCTGGTTTGTCGGGTTGCAGAGTCTTATCCTGGCACCACGCATTGCCTTCTGCCTATATCTCAGAAGCAGACTCCTAAAGTAAATGGAAGAAATCAAACCTAACCTTTTTTCTCAACGATATATGATTTTTCCTTCCATTTTCCCTTCCATTTTCCCTTCCTACCCTGATTGGGGTCTAAATGCAATGTCAAGGTTGGCTTCAAAGAACAGTTATAGTTTCATAGCTTCACAAGAACAAAATCAAAATCTACATAGTAAATGGTTCCGTTAGATATGCAGTTGAGAGCACAGCTTAATAGGCAACGCGAGGAGATGATTCCCTGCTTGCCACGGCATGCGTAAGAAGTTATTCAAGTTCTGCGCAATATATAATGATTGATAAAAGAAAATTATTAATAGCAGAATTCACAGGATAAATACATTGCTAGGCCAAAAAACCGCTATGAGAGAAAAAGAAGAGAAAAAACTAATACTAGACTAGAACATGTTTTACAAGGCGTAACTGTCCGACAAAATTTGCTGGCTCAGTCACTGATCTACTTCTCATACAGAGCTCGCACGCAATCTTCTTTTTGAGGCACTCTGGCTTCCAAAATTGTTATCCTTGGCAAATCTATTCTCTGGTAAACCAGTACTGCAAAATGTTGTACCTTGATATTCAATCACGTACTTCAAGCACAAGTGTTTAACCTCAGTGCGACCTTATATCCTGAAGATAATGTCCGAATTGCTGAGCACCAAGAAACAAGGCATCGGCAAGGACAATGACTCCGACCTGTGCCAAAAATCGTTCAAATTGAGATTAGACGCTTGAAAGTGAGGTGACTAAAAACCAGGCCACTTTAGCAAACATGTTGAAGAGAATAAGTACCAGCCGGGCAGAGAACACTAATCGGTAACTCCAACCTTCTTTGGCACCTGCAGCTCTTTGCTGATCTGTCCAACTGTGGATTGGGGATTGAGATATAAATGCACTTACTGATAAATTTGTATAAGAACTGTCTTAAAATTGTATTTTAATATGCATCAGAAACAAAAGTTAGTGTTCATCACTAGAACATAGATACCAATTATAACAAAAAGTGAGCAAGACCAGATAGTTACCCGAGGAATTCTGAAACCCCACCAATTCCAGCAAACTTAAATGGCTGAGGTCCTTCTCTGACAAGATCCTGCTCCCACATAAGATTCACACCAAAAGCACCGAAAAAGAAAATCCACGTAGAAATGCTAAGAAAAAAAAGAATATCCAAACACTAAAACCACAACTACCTCTTCTTCAGCAGCCTCTAAACCTCCTTGAACCCAGAAAAGGTTTTTGTAGCCTGCATTGTACAGCTGCTCGCAAGCAGCCAGAGATCTGCCATGAAAGGTGATGGTGATGAAATTTGTGATTGATTCATTCCAATGCAAGTGATTCTCATTGCCTTCTTTTCTTTCATGTATTTAGACCATAGTATGCGGTAGAACTAAAAGTTACAAACTACTCTTCTCTATTCGAGCTGGAGGCAAAAAATTCAACCTGGACCAAAAACATGGGTCTGATGTCTAGAACTTCGCAAAAGAAATCAACGGCTGAACTACGATTTCTCCCTTTTAATCCTTTGACAGTCTCCTCCTAATTTATATTATCACTTTGTGAGGAGAAGATAGCAAATGATTGGTATAATCTTCATAATTTTGGGAAAACATCTTCATTATAGTTTTCTAAAAGTCTTCCAGTCTTCGAGTCTACTGTTACTCAATTATGAAAGCGAGGAGATCCATGTATGGATTTGCTATGCACGCTAAATATACCATGATATAACTACATATATGTTGCAATTACAACCTCAATCCTATCAATTATATGAAAACCAAAATAGAATTACGTCATACAAGAACTTCCAAATGTCTCTTTATAAACCAGTTATAACTGAAAATACAATCTTTGTAACATAAAAGGTACCTCAATCCCTTCTGACATGCAACGATAAGATCTGTATCTTCTGGAAACTTCTCACTAACTTTGGCCACGAACTGGCTGGTGAAAAAACAAACAATCAATATGCAATTTATCACATGAACAAAGCAAATCACAAGAATAATATGGTTTTTCTGACATACCTGTTATATGACAACATAGGAACGCCACTCCACCAACCCCCTACACAAAATATTATGTCCTTTAGGAGTGTAACCACCACCAGGTTCAAAGCAATAAGAGGTTACAGTTCAAACGTCATTTAAGTAGTTTCCGTACAACATATTACAAATATCCTACTATGCTTTGAGTATTGATTGAAAACCTATTAATTTGTTAAATTGTATCCAAGAACAAAATTACAAAGCACATAAGCAATGTAAAACTAGATATAAGTTAAGAACGACAGGATAGCAAGAGTTGTCTGATACCCATTGTGAAATTCACGAACTTTCTGGAAAGAGTTCCAGCGTCGAATTCATTGCCAACGTCAAATATCGGAATCCAGGTTGATCCTTTAACCCATGCCTATAAAACAGGGGGAAAGAAGAGATTAATTCAAGAATCATAACAAAGAATACTACAGAGAAGGAAAAAAAAAACATTAAGCTGCGTACCTTTTTGTGTTCTGTAGAGGGACGAACATCGAGAAGGGTTTTGTTAGATAGCTGAATTGCATACCCGGCTTCCCTTGGTGTTAAAGCTTTAACCTTTCCTTCCCTAACCTGTACTAACCGGTTAAAACTCCAAATGCACCACAGTTTAACATATCCTAACGAATCAATAAAATTAACCAATCCCAAGTTCAAATCCTCTATCGTAGTTTAGGTTACTTTCGTGTAGACTATCGCTCGAACAAACAATAACAAATCCCAGTAAGTTCAAACTTAGCATATGCGGAACAAATCATAAAACCTCTACAAACAGAATAGTTGAACTAAAAGAACGTTACTTCATTTCTTAATTGCCCATTAAGTAGCAAACTTAAACAGATTTACACAAAAACTCATTTTGTTTTTTGGTCTTCGAATTCTGAAGGAATCGAGAAACATACCAGAGCCTCCCATCTCTTTTTGGCAGCAGCCATATCCCTCATTTGCTTCAACTCGTAATCTTCACTGTCAGCTTGCATTCGAGTGGCACTCCTTCGCTAAATCAAAAAAGAGAACAAGAACAACCCACATTAGGAGAAAAAAATAAAAAATAAAAAAAGCCCAAATATTAAAACATGAAAAAGGTGCAGAATTCACATACAAAATGGTAAGTTAACATCAAGAACAAGAACAACCCAGATTAGAAAATATACTCAAAACATGAAAATTACCATAAACCCAATAATTAGAACATGAAAAAGGTGGAGAATTTACATACAAAATTGTAACTTCTGTAAGAGGGTGTGAGTTTTAGGGAAGATGGAGGTGAAATGCTTGAAAAATATGTTCTTTGACATGGTGGTTTAGTGGCTCTTCGTTTCTGAGAACTGGAGCACAAAATGCTATGAGTGTTGAGAGAAGGAAATCCCAGAGCTTCCATTGCCAAAGAGCTCAACGAAACTGAGTCAGGAACCGATGAGAAAATTGGATAAAGTTTTCGGATTTGTGTGATCTTCTGCTGCAATTCGTCTGTTGCCAGTGACAGTCCGCTACTGGTTTGAAACACTGCGTTTCAAGGACAGAAATAAGTGAAACTTTTGGATATGGGGTTTTTTTAGTTTACATGTATTAAATACAATTATAATTATTTATTTATTTAATTTTTGAATAAATAATATTATCTTTATTAAGGGGGTAGGGTGTGGGCTAAACTTCATAATGGGCTAGCAATGATATGATTCAAATTCGCTTTTTGCGAGAATCAAAATTAAGATTTTTCACTTACAAGTAAAGATGAATATATTCAAATAATAATCGTACATGCAAGTATTATATTCGATATTGCAAGTGGCCATTTACCACAATGGTGGAAAAAAGTTGAGTTTTTGCATGACGACGTGGGTTCAAACCCCGTTAATGGCTAATTTGATATCTTATCTAATCTAACAAGATGTCACATCCCGACCTGGGCTCCATCACATTCCGGGCTCGACTCCGCCATAGCACAATATTGTCCGCTTTGGGCCCCGGCCACGCACTCACGCGAGCAAAACATCCCAGTGGATCATTCATCTTAGGAATGCACTGGCCCCTTTCTCACTTAACTTCGTAGTTCCGATGGAACCTGAAGCCAATGAGTTCCCAAAAGGTTTCGTGTTATATGGAGGTGGGTATGTACATATTAGGGGTGGGTTCAAAAAACCGAAAACCGAAAAAAATCGAAAACCAAACCGGACCGAGGCTGAAAAAAACCGAATCGAAAAAAAAACCGAACCGAAACTGTCAAACCAAACCGAACCGAATCTGATCAGTTCGGTTTCGGTTTTTGAGGTTCAGAAACCGAACCGAACCGATATAAATATTTAATTATTTTTTTCAATATTTATAAATAGTTTAGTCATACAATCCTAACAAAATAGAACCCGTTGCCAAGTTGGTTTCAGGGAAACTTTAGAAGCTAGGGCCATGGGTTCGAACCCTCATGCCTCCATTTCGGAGAATCTTTTTATTTTTTATGAGAAATCAACCCTTTAACCCTAGCCACTAGTTGAACCTTTTCAATTTTTCATTCCCTTATCCCTCTCCTCTGTACTCTGGACGACTGGACCCTCTCCTTCCCATTCCTAGTTCCGCCGCTCTTCGTCTTCTTCCTTCCCACTCCCAGCAACCTGCAACAAAACCCTTTAACCCTAGCCACTAGTTGCACCTTTTCAAATTTTCATTCCCTTATCCCTCTTCTCTGTACTCTGGACGACTGAATCCTCTCATTCCCACTCCCAGCTCCGCCGCTCTTCGTCTTCTTCCTTCCCACTCCCAGCGACCTGTGACCCGTCTCACATCTCGTCGATTTGCAAGTGTCGCCAACTTGCCGTCTCACTCTCAGTCTCTCACCCCCGTGACCCGCGACTTCCTCTCGCCTTTTCAAGTCTCGACCCACGACCTCCTTCCTTTGCACGGTAATTTCTCTCATGTTCTATAGATTTTGTTTTTAATTTCATGGGTTTTGCAGATTTTATTTTCAATTTCATGGGTTCTGTAATTTCATTGGTTTTGCGATTTGTTTTGGGTTCTGTAATTTCATTGGTTTCGCGACTTCCTCTTGGTTTTGCTATTTCTGAACACTATTAGTTGAAGCTAATTTTGGGGTTCTGAAGTAGGTAGGTGTAGAGAAAATTTCAATATTTAAGTCCATTTGTTGAATTTGCATGCTAAATTTGAGTTGGGAACTTTTGCTTACTTGTTACCCAGTTGGCTTTTTTTGAGCTACTTTTGCAGTTTCTTTCTTCGTCTTAATTTGCGAACAATTTGATCATGTTTGACTTATCATTTTGTTTTTGGGGTAATCTGTCAAGCTGGTAATATATGTGGAAGCTCGGCTATTGGAGGAAATCAGCAGCTTTTTATCCAGTGAGTGAGAAATCTAATCAATGAAACTTGTTTATCAACGTATGCTAATAATATTTTGGATTATGTATAGTTCTCGTCAACGATACAAGACTAAGCGATGAGTAGTAATTGTATAAGATAATTGTGATGAATTCCAGAGTCTTGAAGTCATGCTACATTCAGTTATACATAGAAGAGAGATTCCACCACAATTAACTTTGTCTACTTGTTCTCCAGGCGAGTGTAGCAGTAAAGACCACCTTGTTTGAAGCCCATCCAGGGCTGCTGCATTCAAGGTATTTTAGATATAAAAGCATTTGTTTTCATATTCATCTGATTTGCAATCCGATTTCTTGCACGACAAACACATATCTGCTTACATATTTTCCCATTTTATTAGGTGATCAGAGTAACTCCGCCTATGTAAGTTTATCTTACATTGCCGGTCCCAAGCCCGGATAAAGGAGGAGGGGGAGGGCGTCAGGTAGTCGACAGCCGGCACTCCACAGTTACGTCGAATCCTTATGACAATGAATCCAGAACGAAATCGCGCTAAAGCTAGGACGTCACCCGTAAGTGGCGCGCTGTGTGGCCCGAGCACAGTGATAAGTGAACAAGGGTCGCTGTATCTCCATCGGCACCCGGATGCAGTGTTAAATGAGCAAGGGGGCCATAGAAACTTCTTTTCGAACGACTCCACTCAAAGTTGTTTGGGAGCATATGCTCCTATCAACTTTACACATGACACATAAAAGAAGTACTTTGATCCTATTAGACGGGGGATGGTGAAGAAGCTAGGACAGAAGGGTAGAGTTCAAGAGAGTAGAATGCGTTTAGGAACGTGGAATATAGGAACCTTAACGGGAAAGTCTATGGAAGTAGTGGAAGTTATGGTGAGGAGAAGGATAAATATTATGTGCCTACAAGAAACTAAGTGGGTTGGTCTTAAGGCAAAGGATCTAGAAAACTCAGGGTTTAAGCTTTGGTATTCGGGCACAAATAGAACGAGAAACGGTGTTGGCATCATTGTGGACAAGACCTTGACACAAGATGTTGTAGATGTCAAGAGGGTAGGAGATAGAATCATGGCAATCAAGATTGTAATAGGACAAGAACTCATCAATGTGATTAGTGCGTACGCACCTCAAGTAGGGTTGGATACGAGTTCGAAGGAGAACTTTTGGGAAGACCTTGGAGACTTGGTGCAAGGAATTGCCCAGACGGAGAAGTTATTTATAGGAGGAGATTTAAATGGACACGTGGGCAGGGAGACAGGCAACTATGGAGGTTTTCATGGTGGCCATGGTTTTGGGGAGAGAAATGAGGATGGGGAAGCTATCTTGGATTTTGCAATGGCATATGATCTCTTCTTAGCCAACACCTTCTTTAAGAAGAGAGAAGAACATGTGATCACCTACAAGAGTGGGTCGTCAAAAACACAAATAGATTTTCTTCTAATGAGGAAAGGGGATCGTATAACTTGTAAGGATTGCAAAGTTATACCGGGGGAGAGCTTGGCTAATCAACATCGCTTATTGGTGATGGATGTACATATCAAAAGAGTGAGAAAAAAGAACAAGACTTGGAAGTGCCCAAAAGACTAGATGGTGGAATCTAAAAGGAGAAAAACAAGTCATTTTCAAAGAGCAAGTAATCACCCAGTGTGTGTGGAATAGAGAGGGGGAAGCTAGCCAAATGTGGGATTCCATGGCTAGCTGTATTCGAAAAGTAGCAAAAGAGGTATTAGGAGAGTCCAATGGCTTTGCTCCACACCAAAAGGAATCTTGGTGGTGGAATGAGGAGGTACAAACAAAGGTGAAGGCTAAGAAGGAATGTTGTAAAGCCTTATACAAGGATAGGACCGATGAAAATGGTGAAAGGTATAGAAGAGCGAAGCAAGAGGCGAAGAAAGCTGTGAGAGAAGCTAAGTTAGCGGCTTATGACGATATGTATAAGCGACTAGTTACCAAAGAAGGAGAGTTGAATATCTATAAACTAGCTAGAGCAAGGGAAAAGAAGATAAGGGACCTAAACCAAGTGAGGTGCATCAAGGATGAGGATGGAAAGGTTCTTGCTACAGAGAACGCGGTCAAAGACAGATGGAGAGGTTATTTTCATAATCTTTTCAATGAAGGACATGAAAGGAGTACTCCTTTAGGGGAGTTGAGTAACTCAGAAGAGTGTAGAAACTACTCCTTTTATTGTCGAATCAGGAAGGAAGAAGTGGTTGTAGCTTTGAAGAAGATGAAGCATAGAAAAGCAGTAGGCCCAGACGATATACCGATTGAAGTGTGGAAAGCCTTTTGGGAGAGACAGGTATAGCATGGCTCACTGACCTTTTCAATAGGATTTTGAAAACGAAGAAGATGCCAAAACGAGTGGCGAAAGAGCACCTTTGGTGCCTATTTACAAGAATAAGGGCGACGTACAAAATTGCATGAACTATAGGGGTATTAAGCTAATGAGTCATACAATGAAGCTCTGGGAGAGAGTCATTGAGCATAGATTGAGGCAAGAGACACGGGTTTCGGACAACCAATTCGGGTTCATGCCAGAGCGCTCAACCACGGAGGCAATCTATCTCTTATGAAGATTGATGGAAAGATATAGAGATGGGAAAAAGGATTTACACATGGTCTTTATAGATTTGGAAAAAGCGTATGATAGGGTCCCAAGAGACATTCTTTGGAGGATTTTAGAGAGAAGAAAGGAGTACGAGTAGCATATATCCAAGCTATGAGGGATATGTATGGAGGAGCAAAGACTGCCGTAAGAACTCATGAAGGACAAACCGAAAGCTTCCCCATAACTGTAGGATTACATCAAGGCTCATCCTTAAGTCCTTACCTTTTTGCGTTGGTAATGGATGCGTTAACAGGACATATTCAAGATGATATTCCTTGGTGTATGCTTTTCGCAGACGATATAGTGTTGATAGATGAAACTCAGGAAGGTGTAAATGCGAAGCTTAACCTTTGGAGAGAAGTGTTGGAATCTAAAGGTCTTCGCCTAAGCCGATCAAAGACAGAATATATGGAAGTGCAAGTTCAGTGCAAATGGAGGCCAAAATGAGTTAGGGGTGAGGATCGGAGATCAGGAAATACCAAAGAGCGACCGTTTTCGCTACCTAGGATCTATCTTGCAAAAGAACGGAGAATTAGATGGAGATCTCAACCATAGAATACAAGCTGGATGGATGAAGTGGAA